TATATATATATATATATATATTCGTGCTCTTCATTTTTTATTCATTCATTATCTGAATCATTTTTACCGTTGTTTATAATAAGGCTGTACGTCTATTGGTTTTTGCTTTGTTTTGCAGTTCGTAAAATGAAGAAAACTGAAGAGAGTTGTTGATATTATGTTCATTCGTTCAAGTTTCTTTCTTATTCGGCGGTTCCATGGATTCCGTAGAGATTATTATTGTTGTTACTGTTGTCGTTTCTAAAACTTTGTTTGTGTTGTATAGAAATTTGTTATGAGGATCGGTGAATTGGACACAGTCGAAAATTTTTATTGTCTTTTCATTGATTTGGCGTTTCATCACAATTGCGTTGGAGGCGTACAGAAATGGTGAAATTGACCCGAACTCCTGGATGGTTCGTATTGCGGAATGAATTTTACACTCTGAATTTATCCGCCGATTTTGATATGTTCATGAATCATAGCTTAGCGAGCGACAATTAGCATCTGCATTGGAAGTGTTTCGTGGCGATGGTTGATGGTTTGTTCCGATGAAGTGTCCTTGTGATTATCCTTTCGATAAGTCGTCATTTATCCGTGCAAATCATTTTTACATCGCCTAAATAACCAAATCATCGATGGATGTTGAGAAAATGATGAAGCCGCTATCAAGTAACTATGTGACGTACCCGTGAAAACTGCAAATTTGCATAGTTTTTGGAAATTAATGTTCTCTTTTCGCATTTGGTGTTGCGTTCATTGAAATGCTTCACTGTGATATTACTTGCTGGAAATATTTATTTCATTGCAATAAGTTAGAAATCCTGAAAATTTTTTATTTCAATTTTTTGACATTTCGTCATGATACCGCAACAACCTTTTCCATTCTACTCATCGTCGTATTTTTTTATTATGAAAACGTTTATGAAATTGCTCCATAACAACTGCTGAAAAAATTATGTTATTACCATTATGAAAATGATGAATAATGAATATAAAATATAAGATCATCAGTCGTTTTGAACTGATCAATCGTGTTGTGTTTGTGTGTCAATTATAAATAAATGTTGGTTTTTATTTGATTATTCATAAAAAATTGTTTGCTCTTCTTTAAAGAAATTATTTCGAGTCTCATTTAGCGAACTTCATGCAACTATCCAATCTTCTACTGTACTTCTGCAGTTCTGTTGTTGTAATTGAAAAGACTCTAAACAGCGAATGAGATAAACCATCAATGACTGTTTGTATTGAGGCAAACAACTGTACACAAAGAGTTACGGTGTAATTTCAATTTTATCTGACATTCGCCTTTTTCCTACTGCTTATTCGAGAATAATGAATGATGTCTGGAACAACACAGTAATTGACTGGCTGTATGCCGGTTGTAACTGATCCACTAGGAAAATCCTTTATGAGGTGCAGCAGGCAGAGATGTACCTAGACGATGATGTCAAAAGAGGCGTGGGATGAGAATACACAATTGCGGCAACGATGAAGATATTGTCGATGGGTGGGTAAATGCTTGCGGTGTTAATGTTGCAGTCGACGTCTGGTAGCTGTTGATTCGATGTGATTGCTGATATCTAATGTGAATTACTGGATGGATCGCTAGTTAGGGGATCGGAGGTGACGTGAAGAAGTATGAAGGAAAGGAGGACGGGTGAATGCTGACGAGCAGAAACGTATAAGCATGTAGAAGCAGTGAATGAATGCATGAGAGCGAAGCGATGAATACGAATACGAGAAAGCATCGCTGAAGAATCGATTTTGTGGTCATACAGCAGCAGATTGCTGACTGACCGACTGTTCATTGCTTCTCATATCTCAGATATGATGGATTACGAGAGCAAATGAACCTCATCGTCATTATCTCTATCCATATCATCATGCATCCATCCAGTCTTTATGAAACAATCAGCATCGAGAGGATAAAAGCGACAAAACAACTGTTTTCGCTTATGTCCTTCTGTTTAATTTATTCCTGCAATAGGAAAAAATAGTTGATTGCTACGGGAATATCAACACTTCAGTTAATTGTTCCATAATTAATGCTTATTCACTTTTGTACATGTTACTTACCAGTTGCTACTAATTTTATAATTTGGCGTACCAGTTGAGTGAATATAATAGGTAAGATTTTTGATGATGTTATATGGATAATGTGTATATTTGATAAGTCGTAATCAGTCAATCGAGCAATATCTTTATCGCATCTCAAGTTCATTCACGTTTATCCACATTCATCTGCTCACACATGCAAGACAGACACAGGATCGATTCATTCTAGAAGATCCAATCAGCCATCTAAATCAATGCATTCTGATGTTATGTACCTTCTTTATCGCGGTTATTTTTATTGCTTGCTCTAGCAGCTATTCACGGAAACAAGCATTTATTCTTCTTATCTCATTTTTATAAGATGAAATGGGGATGGATGAACGGATAGATGTATGAATGTGCAATGATGCTTCATTCATCATCTTTGTTGTTATTATTGTTATCAATATTATTATTATCAATATTATTCTTATTCGGATAAGAGAATTTTAGTAAGAGAATATTTATTGTGTAAACCAGGGCCAATTATTCATTTCAATTCACCACATGTGTTGTTTCATTTCTTTTACACAGTCGTCATTATTTATACACACATGTAAATTCGCTTTGACTGCAAAAAGAGACGTTTTATGGACGATTGATGACGAATTACTGCAACGCTAATTCTGTTTTTTTTTTCAAATTAAAATTTGATCCAGACCTATCAGTTGCATAGCGTTGGAATTAATTTAATGAAAGTAGACGTATGAAATAAAATGATTACTATTTATAAGAGAAGAATTATTGTTGAATGTTAACTATCACTGTTGCATATCCATGAAATTTTTCATTATGTTCATTTATCAGAGTTGTTGTTGGCTACTTGTTCATAATTAATTTTAGGATCAGAGAGCGAACGAAACGCAGCAATCACTTATGTCTGTTGTGAGCCAACGAACCGTTCTCTAGGATGAGATATTAGATTTAGCGTTATTCATTCATTCATCGATTGTCGTTTCGACATGTTGCGCGATATGTTTATGTGTGTGGTACTTGTTGAATTTTCATTGTTATTTTCATCGATTGAATTTGTGCGATGAGTTGTTCTTGAGTGAAGCTTCCATTTACAAACACTGCTTGAACTCGTAGCATAACAATAATCTTCCTAAATGGGTCAAAACAGATTGGTTATGTTATCGAGTCCGAGCTGGGCAGTGCTTTTGCCTACATATATCTGATTATATCCAGTAGAAGTTGCGTGTACATTGATGTGTGATCGTTTACATACATACGTGCATATTCTGCATTCATTGAGCATTGATTAAAGTCTATTTTGAGACATCTCGCGATACTGTTTTATGTTACGGGCGAGCTCTTCAGTGGATTCTGTCCACTTTATCTTCCACGCTTTCATACCAAAAAACGCGGGTGTATCGATCCTTGATATGTCGTTTCTTGATGGTGTCCAGCCGAGCGATTATATGATATCCACGACATTGTTTCCAGTTCGTTAGTGACGATATATCGCTACGCTTAGAGGTTGATATGGTATGGTGTTGCTGAGATGACGGATTATATGACCAATGTAATTAATTAATTGATGAATTGGAGGATGGAGCAAAATTGTTTCAAAAGGTTACCCTTTTAAGGGTTAAAAACTATTCTTGATTCAAGTGAGAGAGCGTAAGAAGAGATGGATCGTCGTGGTGCGTTCCGTGGTGGTTTTGGAAGTTACAGTTTTGGAAGTTTCGGCGGTAGTTTCGACGGTCGTTTATCAAACGGCTCACTGGATCGCAACTGGGCCAGATCAAGGTTTATCACTTGTATTAAATTGTTTTTTTTTCGTCAATTTGTTTTTATGACGCACTTCACACCGCCTGGCTAGCACGTTCACAACTTAGTATTCATTCACTTACTCATTCACTTTAATCTCGTAATTTGTATGATTGGGTACACTTCTTGAATTTTGTTTCATATATTCGTTGAGGGAAAATAACCAGTAAATTTTAGTTCAGGTTACCCTAGTTGAGTTGCTTGCTTGCTTGATACGCTGTATATAGTTCGATGGTTTATGACCTCTTCAGAATGAGTTTAAAATCAAAAAGAATGGTGCATGTAATATCGCTTTTATTATTTCAATCATACATTCTTAGTCTTCGTCAACAATTTCGGCAAGAACAGCAGTATCAAGCTTCTGTCGCAAATGCATTTGATGGTGGTAATGCTATCGCTTACAATCCTGGTGGCAACTTATTGTATGCGAATCAGCCGGGCTTCATACTTGCAAGAATCAATGGTGCTAAGCATCGTCTATCGTGTAATGATCAATTGTTGAGCTGTGCTCGCGATCAGTTCATATCTAATATGAGAATGGATGCTAACCGTCGTCATCGCTGTTATCGTCGTCAGTCGGCTGGTTATGGTGATGGCCAACAACCGTCGTCAGAGCAACAAGAAAATGTTTGTAGAAATTACGGACACCGACGACAACAAGAGCATGCGCGACAAGTTGCAGCTGCTGCTAGCGGCTGGCATAGTAGTACTGGTATTGCTGGTGCCGATGATACTGCTACCGTAAAGAAGTATTCATCACACAGCAAGAAGCGCTATAGTGACAACAATAACAATAGGGATCAAAATAACAGCAACATCTGCAGACAAAACAGTGATGAACAGCAGCGATATCACTTGAAGTTGCAATCATTGCAAAAGTAAAATTTTCTATTCATTCATCAGTTACATTCGGATAAGTGCATAGATAAATGAATAGTTGTAATAGATGTGTACTGATATGAAAATTCTTACGTTCAGTCCTTTTTTTGAATGATCGAAAATTCTGTGGATGCTTTTTGCTTTTTTGTCATAGTAACAACAACAATAAAACTGCTGCTTGCCTGCTTATTACTATTGTTATTACTAATATTATCATTATTCTTGCTACTACTACTATTATTGTTATTATTATTAATATCAAAATAATGATAATAACAATATTGTTATTGTTATTATCGTCATTATTATTATCATTATTATTTTAAGCACTATAATTATTTTACTAGCACTCTAGCCTTACACATCAATGAATGAATAGCATGAATAATAATGCATGTGAACTTGATGAATGATTTTTAAAGTTTAGTTTGTTGTAATCGAATCATCGCAGAATGGTTTATTTTAATGCATGCAACTGATTCATCTTCTAGCATAGTGTTTTGTTGATGCATTTGGTGACGAATCTTCGTTCAGATCGCGCGGTAATGCAGCTCTTGGTGGTAGACCAGGAATAATTTCAAGTCGCCGTGTGACTACGGATGTCGATAAATCGTGGACACCTGTCACAAAATTGGGTCGTTTAGTAAAAGATGGAAAAGTGAAAACAATTGAGGAAATTTATTTGCATTCAATGGCAATCAAAGTAAGTGTCTGATATATATATATATATATATATATAT